TCTCGTGCTTATTGTTTCCGTACTCATCGTTTACCGATCTCCGGCAGATGTTAGTCTTCTATCCATATTCATATCTAAATTCGTAATTATTTACAATTAAATATGACTATTATCTTTCATCTTATCTATCTAAAATTTACTATTGCGTTTTACAAAATCCGATTTATAAAATTATAGGGTATTTTGAAGAAACAAAAGAAAAAATATTCTATACTCTCACTTGTTCAAAACTAAATGATTTAGCTTGAAATAATGACCAAAGTGTAGCAATAGCTGTTGCTCGAATAGCAGCTGCTATTCGACCTGCTTTCCATTGCATATTTGGTAATATACATTCATCAATTAATATTGTTAAATATGGACTAATTATAACTGTTGTATCTGTATCATCAATAAATTGAAGTAAATTTGCTATGATTAATAAACATTGATTTCGTACTTCTGGATCACGATCAGGTTTCATGACTATACGTAGAATTTCGATAATATCTTTAAGAAAAAATCGATTTGATGATCCTGAAAACAAAAACAAAACAATCATTTAAAGTTTTCGTTTTTAATGATTAAAGTAAAGGCAAAAAGAAACGTTCTTATTTTTTCCTTAACTGTAACACACAGAATAAATCGAAGAGAAGATTTGATTAGTTAGAATAATTTCCTCTCAGAAGAGATACTTGTCGAATTAACATTAACAGATTTGAGTGAAAAAAAACATTTTAATGTCCGCAAGCTCTCCATGATCCATCGTCAGCGAACGACAATCATTGTGCAATAGTCTTAAAAAGTTGTTTTACACACTTTGAAGTAGGGGTGTCAGTTTCGGGTTCCGTTCCTGGGAACGGGAACCCGCACCGGGTTCGCACCGGGTTCCGGGTTCCCAGGAACGGGAACCCACACCGGGTTCCAAAAAACTGGGAACCACACCTAAATTTCTATTCTAAACGATTTGCAATAGGGTTCCTCATTCTTAGGAACCCGATGCGGGTTCCCGTTCCTAGGAACCCGATGCGGGTTCCCGTTCCTGGGAACCCAGGAACCCGGAGAGACTTGTCTCAAAACGAAA